GGTGGGAGGGGGAAGAGGGAGGAGGGAGGGAGGTTTCGGTAATGGGTCACAATAATCAACCTCATTGTATATCGACAAAATAAAATTTAAAAAATAAATAAATAAAAAATAAATCATAGCTTTCTTTGGAAGAAACTTCTCTGCCACACCCCTGTGGGAATGTTCGCCCTGGACTCTTTGCCCTGGAGCCTCACAATACTCTGCCAGGCGCTGGGCTGTCTGTTTTCTGTGGGTTGAGGCATTCCCAGTTCTATGGATTATAATGTATCTCTCCGCCCCCTTCCCTGCCACCCCCTCCATCACGGGCCATCTGTCCCCGCACTGCCCACTCCCAGCCTTTTTAATAGCACTGTCCTTGGGGAGGAGGGTCTCCAGGCTGGTTTTATAACAGGCCTGGGGGAGTGTGGGGACACCCCAGTGCTGCCAAGGCATTTGATTGAGCTGGGTATTCGGGGAGGCAGGCAGCTAAAAAAGTCCTAATGGAGGAAGTTTCCCAAGGTGGGGCCCTCCTTTCAGCTCCCCACTCAAATAGATGGATGAGCATGCACACATCAAGAGAGGATGGGAGCGAGAGGGGGTGGGGGTGAGGACGCCTTTCTAAAAATACAGCCCATCTGCATCCTGTTAGTGGTTTCCTCGGAAACCACTGGGAACAGAGCTCCAGCAGGACAGGCAAAGCAGAGACCCAGGGCTGGGGCTGGGTGGGTAGGATCCTCCCTGCCTGCCTCCTGTGCTGAGGAGGAGCCTCTGCCAAGTGGCTCTGCAGCTCTTGTTTAGGCTCTGTGGGGCCTGGTGTCTAGCAGCTCCCAGCCCAGTACATGCAAACTGCAAACTAGACTCCAGCGGGGACCCTCATGCGTTCACGAAGCAAGCACCATTTTTGTTTTTGGAACACTCTGAAGGACTGATGCTTCCTGCTTCTTATGGAAGGGAAGGAAGCCTAGAGAAGGCCCAGAGCTGCAGCCGGTTCTAACAGCAGCCTTGCCACAGAAGTGGGTTCTGTCCCAGGCTCTGTGCCCTTAGGTTGTCTTTAACTTAGGGAGAAGCCAAAGGAGCAGCAGTGTCATGGGGGGGGGGGAGCAGGGACATCCCCAGATGG